TTGTGAATAAAAATCTAAATGGGCCTCTTTTGAAAATTTGTCCAACATTTTACTGGAGTTTAGTGACTCAAAACTTTTACATCTCCAATGGCAAGGCAAATATTGACTTTCTCTCTCCTTCCACCTCACTTTATTCTCCATCCACATCACTTGCCTTTTCCAATTGCCTTTCAACTCCACAACAACTAGTTTTTTAAAAGTTTTTCACTTTATCTTTCCTCCACATCACTCAACCATCTTCTGACACGCGGGGCCCTTGGTGAAATTTAACCGGTAGGCAAATTTTGTCTTTTCTCTCCCCTACTTTTCATTTGCCTATCCACTTGCTTAGTCATTACACCAAATAATTGTCCAAATTGTTTGTCATTGCACTTGGTCGTAGTCTTGCTTTGTAGACAACTTGGTACTTTTTTTTATTTATACATCAGTCCCAGATTTTATTTACTTTCAGTCATCAATTGTCGTATTGATTGATGCCAAACCAACTGTAGGTATCACCAATTTTTGTTCTTTTGAACCTTTTTCGGCTGGGATAATTTCGAACGCCTCCAAAATATCTATTTGAACAATTCAATTTTCACTGTTAATTTTATGGACTGGTACAAAGGATCTACAACTGTACGATCCCTGTAGCTATAGAACAGTTTGTTGTACGGTAGGATTCTTGGCAACATGTAAAGTTCATTCTAATATGGTTCGAAATATTGCTCTAACCCAATGTGAATAACTTGTAAATGAATAGGAGTTAAACATGCAGACCTGATCAGACAATAACGGCAGCACCAGCGCTTTTAGCCGATACTGGCTAGTTCAAACAAATATTAATTAATAGTGATTAATTCAGGATGAGATTTGGTGTTTGAAGTACAAAAAGTTGATTTGACTTGGGAAAATTAAAAAAATAAATAAATAAATGTGTGGGAAGCTCGTGACTAAGTAGCTTATTTTGTTGAGTCTACCCTAGATTATATTTCTATTTTGAGTTTTACTATATATATATATATATATATATATATAATATATATATATATTATATATATATATGGAGAGGTTCTAATAAAAACCTCTTTAGCCTAAAAACTAAAACCTCCTTCATCCATTGGATATAGATGAATCCAATGGCTGGGATTCAGTCAAACAGTCAACAGACACATGCATTAATTACCTCATTAATTACCTCAACATATCTCAAATCACTGCAGTGAATCCGGATTCACTGCGTTGATGTAATTAATACATATGTTTAATGAGGTAATTAATGCATGTGTCTGTTGACTGTTTGACTGAATCCTAGCCATTGGATGAAGGAGGTTTTTAGTTTTTTAGGCTAAGGAGGTTTTTATTAGAACATCTTCCTGTATATATATATATATATATATATATATATATATATATATATATATTATTATATATATATATATATATATATATATATATATATATATATATATATATATATATATTATATATATATATACATGAAGATGTTCTAATAAAAACCTTTTTAGCCTAAAAACTAAAAACCAATATCATCCATTGGATCTAGATGAATTCAATGGCTGGGATTCAGTCAAACAGTCAACAGACACATGGATTAATTACCTCAACGCAGTTAATCCAGATTCACTACCTCAACTATCTCGAATCACTGCCAGTGAATCCAGATTCACTGGCGTTGAGGTAATTAATGCATGTGTTTAATGAGGTAATTAATGCATGTGTCTGTTGACTGTTTGACTGAATCCTAGCCATTGGATGATATTGTTTTTAGTTTTTAGGCTAAGGAGGTTTTTATTAGAACCTCTCCATATATATATATATATAATATATATATATATATATATATATATATATATATATATATATATATATATATATATATAATATATATATATATATATATATATATATATATATAAACAAAAAATACTTAAATAAATATTTACGGGTATTTAAAAATTAATCTAACTACAGAATAATTATCTACAATTAAAAACGTACATATTGTGCTAATACAACAGTTGATATGAAATAGTCGAAATATACACATACACATATTGTATAATTAAACGAGAATAATTAATAATAAAAATATATTTACTTATATTTAAAATCAAATAATTATGGGATAATTATATACACAGTAAAACGTACCAGTTATACTAATATGACAGATAATATGTAACAGTAGAAATAATATAAAAAATTATACCAAAAATACGTAATTAATAATACTATCTATTATATGAAATAATATTAATAATACAACATATTATTTAAAAATAATATGTAATAGTACCATAACACAACAAATTAATTCCAAAAAATTTTATCGCACAAAATAAATTTATAAATATTTAAAATCATTTAAATAAATATAAATCTTGGATTTTAAATCATGGAAAATTATAGAAAATCAAGAAAAATACAAATACTCTTTTAAAAATAATAATTAAATATTTTAAAATACTAAAAAATTATTTTAACTAGTATTAAAAATTCATGGTCCTTACATTCTACCACCTTTAAAATAAATTTCGCCCTCAGAATTAAAATAACCAAAGGACAGAGATATAGAACGAGAGTGGGTACTCGCAAATCGACGAGACAAGAAACAATAGGAAGCTCTAGAGTCAAAGAGTGATAAAGCAAGAATGGAGAAATAAGAACCTTGCTTATTACAGGAGGAGGAAAATACATCTAAACTAGTATTCATAAACAAATCCTATCATAATATCATCAAGCAATACTAATAAGGAAAAAGCATATGCAAGTAAAACTAAGATGAACAATTCTTACTGGTATTAACCTGGTCGTTCGCCTCAGCTTCCACGATGATCATCATGAATGTCTGACGTGGTGGTTGCTGCCTTCGCGCTTCCTGATAAACTTGTTGCTGTGGAGGAAGGGGCCCTGCTCGAGGATAGGGTCTGTACTGAGCCGGAGCTACTGGGGTAGGTTGAGGTGGAGCTGGAAGAGCTACCCAAACTGGAGGTAGGGGCAAGTTGGCCTGTTGTCGCTGCGGACAGTCCTGATTGACATGGTCTGGGGATCCACAATTGAAGCACAGACGAAGACGTTTAGGGCACTCCTGATGGGTATGCCCACGGAAATTACAATACTAGATGGTTAAGTGTAGATATTGCTATGTTTCATATCTAGAGATTAATAGTAAGAGATGTGTATGTGAGGGTTTCCTTGTCTGGATTATCCCCTCAACATGCTTTTCTGGTATTATTAATCTCTAAGATACGATTACGGAATTTTGATGCAGTACCATCTAGGGATTATGAGTTCGCAATTCAGTACCATCTAGGGAAGGCAACGTGGTAGCAGACGCGTTAAGCAAGAAGCGTCGGCATCGGATGTCAGCTTTGAGGTGCTCGTTATATCGAGATTTTCACACTCTTAGCTAGTTTGATTTTAGATCGGAGATCAGCGGGAGCAGCGCATTCTTAAGAGCATTATCCGTGTAGCCATCTTGGAATGATAGGGTGGTCATAGCTCAGCTAGTGGACTGTTAGATTCAAACCCGAAATGGGAAGATTTCCAAAGAGCCAAATGCTGATCAGAACGTTGGAGCAGATGGAGGACTTCGAATGAAGGGCCAATTAGTGATGCCGCGTAATCCATAACTGAAGAAAGACTTATTCGACAAGGCACATCGTACCAGGCATATAGTGCATCCAGGCGCAATGAAAATATACAAGGACCTAAAGAGATCCTTTTGGTGGATCAGCATACATAGGGAGATTGCGGAGTATGTGGCCAAGTGCTTTACCTGCCAGCAATTGAAGGCAGACCATCAGAGACCGGCAAGAACCTTACAGCCTTTACCCATTCCGGAGTGGATTTGGGAGATATTTCTATGGACTTTATTATAGAATTGTCGAGATCGAAGAAGGGGAACGATTTAGTTTGGGTGATATTGGACCTATTGACGAAGTCAGCACATTTCATTCCAGTGAAGACGACTTACACAGTAGAGACGTATGTAAGGATATTCATTCAGGAGATTGTGAAGTTACATGGAGTCCTAGAGATGATTGTATTAGACCAAGACTCGGTTTTTACTTCACACTTTTAGAGAAGCTTTGAGAATTCTTTCAGTAGCCAGCTACCACATGAGGTAGTGCGTCGATATTCTATATGTACATGCCATTGTGTTAGGTTTGGATGCTTTGTATAGTAGTCTGTTTGCACGAGGGTGAGATGTGGCTTGTGAGTCGTCCATCTATGAGGCTTGTGAGCCATCTATTTAGATACCTATATGGCAGGTCGTCCCGAACTCAGGCTACGTGCTGAGATCGCGATGAGACTAATGAATCATGTACATAGTTCAGGATACCTACAGGGCAATCCGTGACATTGAGATTGTTGATTTATAGCCTAAGTTCTAAGCGAATGTCAATTATGAGTTCAACTCATCTTTGAGGTATATGACTGATATACTTTGCTCTTGAAAGTATACGTGAGTATATATTGGTATTTATTTTATCTTTCCAGTGATTGTGAAAGATATTATAAATACGATGTATTGATGTCTTTATATTTCTTTACTGCTTTTTTTACTTCTTAGTTGGGATAAATGATTAGCGATTCATAATTTGAGACATATGGTATATACATGAGGGTTTCCTTGTTTGGATTATTTCGCTCAACGTACCGATCTCGTGTTGTGGATTTCTAATCGTTGATTTTATTAGATTGTCTATTCTTAGTTCAGTGTTAATGTTTAGATATCTATAATTTGAGACAATGGTATATACATGAGGGTTTCCTTATTTGGATTATTTCACTCGATGTACTACGTCTCGTGTTGTGGGTTTCTAAAGGTTAATTCCACTTAGATACAGGAAAAATGAATCTAGGTAGACTATACTTGATAGATAGAGTCTCCACTCCATCTAGCAGCCCTTCCCCTAGGGACGGATGGAGGTGATCTTGTTGTAGCGCTCTGACGCTCTTTATATGGGTTTTTATGTTTTCTCTTCTTTCAGGTGGTACAGAGGTACGTAGAGTCGCAGGATGACGGGGTTCTTGCATTTTCGCCATCACTTGAGTTTTTAAGGCTCCACAGTAGATTTTACATTTTATTTAGACATTAGAGTTTCTTTCTCTTACTGTAAAGTTAGTGTGCCTTAGTATGATTCTAGTTGATTCATATTGATATTTTTATTATTCTAGTTATCAGATGTATTACAGTTGAGACATGATTATTATTTATGAGATATCTCTTCCATATCATGTCTATGGTGTTTATTCCCTTATTTTGCATGTTTTGTACCTGCACTTTTATTTGATTTGACAAGAGGATATTACTGTGATTGGTGAAACGTGTTTATACACAGTGTGAGTGCATGAAAGATTTGACATATATGGGTTCATCTTGGACTGCAGGCTCGTGTGAAACCAGGAGTGTCACACCAGTGTCCTTAATGCTAAGGCGGACACCTTATCCAAGCTCATGACGTACAGTTGGGAATAGTCAAGGACCTATGTACACAGACACCCTAACCCATTTAGAATAGAACCCTAATCCTATTATGGATAGGATATGATGTATCGGTATCGGGTTTGACTCGAACTCGTTACAAACATGAATCCCATTTCTAAATTTGAAACATTCAAATTGGGTTTGACCCAAACCACTGTAAACCCGACTATAGACCTGACTCATACCAATTTTGAATTGAACTTAAGTTTTAAATGCGGGTTTGACTCGCAAACAAAACCTGAATCCAAAATCATATAACTTAAGTTTATTGTAAAATTTACGTCAGGTCCTTGACTGAGTTAGAAGTTGTTCTACAGTCCATCAGCTTCTTTAATTTGCTATAAAATTAGTTTTTGCCCCCTGACTGATCTAGAAATTGTTCTATAGTCCATCTAAATATAAAGACTAATTTTTGATTAGCCCCTAATAGTTAAAGAATTTTTTTGAAGTATATATGCATCTTTTATTAAAAAGATTATCTAACTCTTATTGAATTGTTAGAATTGATATTGTATTATATAAATTTCCAAAATATTTGATTAAATTATACATGTGTTATGGTTGTGTTGATTTTAAATTGTTTAAACTCAATTTCATGTAATTTCAGAATTGTAAGAAATTGCTATTACGTCCAAAATATGTTATGAAACTTTTATTAAATATAACTAGTTAAGAATTTATTAGAAATTGTCTATATATTGAATTCACAAATTTGTTATGTTCTCTCAATTATGATAAATAACAAAAATTGTATAAAAGTATAGATAGATTATTATTTGAAGAAATAAGAATCTAAAGGTCTTTTATCATAGAGATATAATTTGGATAATAATTTTTTTAGGTTATTTGATCCCACAAAGGATAGGGTGTGTTAAATTTTATTATGTAGTTATATCTCCCATAAGGATGTGATGTATTTTATGTATAATGGGACCACTTGACTAAAATAGGTAGTGTCACCTATTTTATATAAAATAGTTGGATTGATGTTTTAACACTTTATTAATGTCTTTGGGTGCTCGCTAAAATAGTGGGGCACATCTTACATCAAAGATCAAAATTTTAAGAAAAGTCATTAATCATTAATGATTGAGTATATGATTCTACCTTATTTAATTATATTTGACCTTGGAAATCTAGAGATATATAATTAAACTTGAATTTTTGTTCACATTTAAATAAACTAGAGAAATATTAAATGTGAATTCATTACTTAAAATATCCCTGATAGTGATTGTGCAACAATAAAATTATAATTTGAGATTTTATGCTATTATATTATGCTAATACATGATTACTATATTTTTAGCATTTTGATATGTTTTTTAATGATTATAAATTGAATAGCCCGAGCTATTAGATTGGAAAAAAATTCTATTTACTTAATGCTAAAAATTTGACCTATGATTATCTAACGTGATATACCTACTAAGTTGGATGTAAATAATGATAAAGATCATCAGTCATAATCTAGTTTAAAGATAATAATGATAAAAAAAATATTCATAAGCAAAGTATCATAAGATATATATATATATATATATATATATATATATATATATATATATATATATATTATATATATATATATATATATATATATATATATATATATATATAGAAGAGAGAGAGAGCGAGTGAGATGAGAGAGAGAGAGAGAGAAAGATGGGTATGTTTGGTACCAAGCAAAAAAATTGTGTTTGGTAGTACTGTGCATAATCCCTCCACTCATTCAAGTGTTGCATATACCACATGCAACTCCTAACCTATGTGAATTGTCCCCTATTTTAATGAGTGAAGGGATTGTGCCACAATCTACCAAGCATACCCATATTTCTCATATATATATATATATATATATATATATTATATATTATAATTATATATATATATATTATATATATATATTATATATATGATTTGTTGACGGTTGAGTATCAAAAACTTTTCAATCCCTATCTCTTGTTCAATTCCTACTATCACTTTCTTAGAACTAAACAATTTGTTGAAAAGAGGAAAAGATTATTATGAAGCATTTAAAACCATAATGATGGATATCGAACTAGATTGTCCAGCGTTAAGAAAAGAAAGTTTTCTCAATAGAGAAATCTGAAAAGGAAAATAAGTTTCAACACATAAAGTGAACATTTAAATAATGAAAGTCATTAGAAAAAGAAATTGTGAAGGTTGTATTACATTACTTAAGAAAGAAATATCTTTTAAAGGCATATCACCCCATTATTTAGTAGAGACTAATGATGTGAGTGATTCCTTACATATGATTTATTGATTCTAGTTTATCTTCACATTCTTACAAATATTGTAAGAGTATAATAAATGCATAAGCTTGAAGATAGAAAGATTAACTTTGACAATAGAAATACAAGCCCTAGTTTTAGCATTGTAAATAAGAATTTTATTTCTAGTTTTGAGTAAAGGGCGTGAAATGAAAATTGAAAATTGTCATAATATTTCTTAAAGTTAGAAAAAAAAATCTATTTTCTAAACTTTATAGCAGTGATTTTTATTTATTGCAAAAATAGAACTTCTATTAAAAGTTTAGAAATTGCTTTGTTGTGACAATTATGAAATTAAAACCGTTTATATTTCATAATTATCACCCTTAACTCTTATGTAATATTATTCGAATTGATAAATCTCTTAAATATTGATTGGATCAAGGTAATCCAACTTATCTTTAGCGCACAATGTTAGGTCATGTTAAAGTTGATAAGATTAACAAGTTGATAAAGCATAGTCATTTGAATTTTCTAAAATTAGAATATTTCTCAACCTGTGAATACTGTCTAAGAGACAAGATTACCAAACTATTTTTCCAGAATAATGCTAAAGATCTATGTACTCTTCACTTCATACATGCAAATGTATATGATCCTTTAAATGTTAAAGCAAGAGTCAGATATTCACATTTTATAGCATTCATATATGATGCATTTATATATGGACATATTTATGTGTTGTATCATAAATTAGAATGTTGAATAGTTCAAAGAATATAGATCAAAGTTAAAAAGCACTTGGTAGAAGTATAAGGCCATCTGATTCGATCAAGGTGGCGAGTACACGCCTGAAGAGTTTAAGAGATTTATGAAAAAAATGGGAATTAATAATACTTGACACCTACCAATTCACCACATTTAATAATTTGTCTAAAAGATAGAATTAAATCTTATTCAATGTGGTTAGATTTATGCTTGGCATTTACTTGTTCCTACTTCTTATAGGTTATGCATAGAGATTATTGTAGGCATCAAAAATTGCCTATAGGTCCCGAACATAGCTCGAGACGACGAGCCGTCGAAACAACAAAGCGGTGAATCACTGATGACATTACAATGAGCCTGCACGCTCATCAGCCAGTTCCAAGTGGCCTACACACTCATCAGCCACATACAAGCTAACGAAATGCATAAAGTGAATTGGTGAAGCGGACAGATCAACGAAACGAAGAAATGTGCATAACGGCGAAACAAGTCCAAACCGAACGAACCGGAAAAGCCTCTGGCGGCCAAATCGCGTCAAAAAGGCGAGGACCAAAGCCAATGGCTCTCTTGGGTGCAAGCCACCATTTGGTGGCCCACAC